TCTCGGGTCTGGGTGTTATGGTACCTTCGTTGTCTCAGATACTCCATAATACGGGGGCTTTAGCTACTCATCTTGGAATCTGAGCAATGTATGTGATGTTGTTAAAAATAAATGAATTACAGCAATATATGAGGTGAAATAAGCATATTTTCTATATAGTTAGTTATGACGTAGTGAGTAGGTCCTCAACTATAATTGCCTATTATGTAATTAAGTCACTTCGTTCTTAATGAAAAATGCTTAAAAAATCGACCAGCCCCAGGTACTCAGAGATGGGACTCGAACCCACGATCTTTCGCAACCCAGGCGACTGCTCTACCAATGAGCCACCCAGAAGCATTTGGTATTTTTCATTACGAGTGAGAGAATTTTCATCAATGTTCAGGCAATCCACCCAAACAGCAGAAATATATTTTTTTTTAAACTTCCAATTAAGATGAAAATTGGTGCTTGACACGTTCATAGTATAACTGAGTGTTTTGGAAATACCAAAAATAAATAAAGCGCGGAGGTACCAAGTAAAAAATTATTACCACACAAAATTAAATGTAAACTCTTTTAAAATAAAACGCATTCCGTATCCACAACGTTACAGTTCAAAAACTGAATAATGCAGATTATCTTTTCCAGAACGCTCGTCTATGGTTCGGTCGTTCTATATTCAAATTGGGCATCGCTATTGGCCGCTTTAAACAGAATGAAATTCAGCACAGAAAAGCGTTGAAGCGCTGTACAAAGAGAATACAAAACTTTGTAACGAGATGCTTATGTAGGTGCCTTTATAGTTTAATGCTTAATATATCACACTAAGATACTGACTTCCTAATCAAAGTTAGCAGCTTTTATTCAGTCTAAGCTGTTATTAGGAAGTACTAATAATGTTCACAAGTGTGAAAGTCGAAACTTATGCCCCCAGTTCGCAGTTTAAACTTTTAAAATCCCGCAAGAACTTGGCAAGGCTATTTTCCCCCCTGTTTTGTCTTGTCAACACATCACAGCTGTTAATGAAAAGAATGACCACAAAAATAATTAAAATACGTGACATAACTATCCTATCGAAAAAAAATGTATAATTGCTGTCACCAGCAGTGATTTTTCTTGACATATAAACTTTAGCTAGTTAAGTATATACTTCAAGTTGACTTTAATATCGATATACATAGTTACTAGGTAACGACTAAGTACAACAAGTCTTCTGTACTTCTATCAATTTAAATACTTCATAATAATGTTAATAACCTTCAAGTATGTACCTTTGTAAATAATTAAGTGATATGATTACCTGTTAATTTATAACTTTCATTTTTTTAAAGAATTCATTCCACGAATAGCCATACATGTTTTATGACACGCCAAATGAATTCATTTTTGATTAGCCATTTTAATTTTTGTTTCTTTTTTACGATGCTCAAATATGACGAATTTTTTTTTGCTTAACCAACTGACGAAAAGTCAGCAATCGAACTCGTTAAAATAAATGTTCCAACATCCTTAAATAAAGCCTTGAAAAGAGAAGTTTTATGTAAAAAGTTTCCAATCTCGAACTATCTATGAGCTCAGATCCACAACAAAAAGTATGCTTAACTTCAAAACTAACCTACGCCAAAGCAAAAAAAAAAAAATTCTAGAACGAAATTTAAACTGCCGATACAAGCTTCTAATAATGCAACACGGACCAGATTGCAAGTGTGCACCTGGCCGTTTGACACCCACCGTGGGGGGAACATACCCATGGGTGTGGGGGGTGTGAAGCGATTTTTGCGAAATTATATTTATTTTATGTGAGCTCTGTGCTTCGAATGGCGCACTCTGATACTAAGTCTGTAAGGTGATAATAAATGTCCTTTGTACATTTGAAAACTTCTTTAGGTTTTTTCTTCAATCTTAAACATCTGTAGTTTAAACAAGCAGTTTACCATAAATGAAATATTTTCATAAAACTAACGTACATTGAGAATAACACCTTGTAATTTTATACCCTTACTCGCAATTGCATAAGTTACAAAATACTAGCTTACTTCCACATTTCATCCCCGTAAATTATAACATAAATCACTCGGAATTATGTAACTTCACGAAGATAACATTTTTTTATATTTTGATCAGTCTTTCCAAAGATTACTCCCTACCCTTCAGTTAAACTGAACCCAGAAAAAGAACCTAACATTAAAATGTACAAACAACGTAAAGTTAGAAATGACAATAATCATTAAATGAGAAATGTCTTATGGAGAACAGAATACATTAACTATATAAAAAAAACAGCGTAAACATCTGAAACGTATTAATTGCTAGACATTCAGTATTCCGCGAACATCGAAACACCCGCGAATAAAACATACACACACACACACACAACTCCTATATAAGAGCAACTAAATCGTCTACATAAAATTCATATATAAAAATGTCAATACACTCACACAGATAAAAGCGAATACAGAGTACAACGTTCAGACTAATCGCACACATAAACACAGCTATGTGTATATTGTGATCTTTCAGTGCACACACAGGTCGGGTTGTATTTCAGCTGGGAGGTGGTTTTTTCTAGGGGTGTTTGGGGGTAAATGTGGGGGTAGCATACATTTTCAGGAAGGCCCCGGCGTCACAGGGCGTCTTTCAGCCTTCCGAACTCGCACACATCGGCGACTATCGGAGAAACGAAGATGCGAAGCGCTACCACAGTGCAATTAACGTTGCAGAGACCGAAAAAATGTTTTATTTTTTAATTTTATATTGATTGTTTTACTTTGATTTTATAAAGACTCAATCTTAGTGCGAAACATTATATAATGCTATTAGGATTGTTAATCAGAGCCATTATTTCCTTGAAAAGTTCCAGAATTTCCAATACAAATATTTAACATTTCTTTTAGTCATTTGATCTATTTCAGATTTATAATAATCCTTGTAAGTTTGCAGACAAAAGATCACAAAAGACTAAGGATTTACAAACATTAAAACATAATTGTAATGCAATGCATGTATGGTGGAACCATTTTGAATCATTACTCTTTTTTTACGTTCATGACAAAAGCTTTTAAAAACATCTTTAAAAACAATATTTACAATATGTGCATAATTTTATGTAACAATTTGCCAGATGACATGAAACTGTTAAACATGAATCAATTTAAATTAAAACTGACAAAGTGGCTTCTAGAACACTGCTTTTATAGCGGTAAAGACTTATTAGCTTTAAAAAAAAATCCATGTCATAATGATAATATATAATAATAATTTGTAATGTTATGAGATGTTTAATATATAATATGAAATGTAATAAGTTAATAATATAATAACAATATTTGCACGCCTGTCCGCAGGCAGAATACTGTACTTGTCTGATTATTTGTGACCTCAATGACTTGTGTTCTGGCAAATAAAGATCTTATCTTATCTTATCTTATCTTTATTTTTCGATTGATGATTTAAGATTTAAAAGAAAATTGACACTAATTTTCTGTTGTAAAATGTAATAAAAATATAAAAGGATAAATATACTCAATGAAAATTAACGTGAATTAAAAATATAATTACAACTGAATATTAACTATATTATTAACTTTCTTATTAATGAAGACTTTAATTTCGCCTCTCATTGGAATTAATATTGTTATAGTCTAACTCCCGAGTCACAATTCCAGACTCTGTTTTCAACGTCCCACAGTTACTCTGTGCAATCGGGCGCAGATCAGTGGGGAGTGGGGGGTTTAATGTACACGTGTGTGCTCGGAAAAATGCCTTATGGCCCCGACTACCACTGGGCTTAAGTTTTTCAGCGGACTTCGATGCTTCCCGTTAGTACCTCCTCCCGATCCTACTATTGTGTAGTTGAACAAACTTAATGTATTTGTAGTTTATATCTATATTGTGTGATGTATACTAGAGGATAATGATTATGACAGAATTAAATATAGTAAAATTAATTTAGTGATATTATAAAATTATCGAAGACTTTGTGTGAAAAAAAATAGTGTCTATCGAGTTTCTAGCTGAATTGTCGGTTCTTCTCAGTACAAGGTCTCGTCTCCTTAGTTTAATGGATCGATGGTATAAATTTTCCGATTTTGTTCTAAGAGCTAACTATTTGAGATGACTAATGATTTAGATGAATGCACTACTCAGTCGGTAATGTACTTGCCCCTTATCGTGCTAATATCCTCACAATAATGGATGGCGAGATGATGACTGTCAGTTTAAAGATGACGCTGTCTAACTGCATCGCGCTTACAAAATTTCTGCAGCAACTTAATATAATATAACATCCAACTAACGTATACATATACTCATATTAATCTTATCAAGTAAACATACTTCTGTGTAGACCTTTACATACTTTAAGCTCAGTTCGGATCTCAAATGAACTTATTAATCTAATAATTATACATTCACATCAATAAAATATCCATAAAATATCGCTACCTCCGGAGAATAATATGATAACTGCAAAAACCAAAATGTTCAGGAAAAATAAAAAACCGATTTTGTTTAATAACTCCTTTGTTTGAAATGCTATCCCGAAGAATGATATATCAAATGAAAGCTAATTTTTTTGCGCAACGATGTGAATTATGTTTCGTGGAAAAGCACTGACAAGAATCGAAATAATCGCAAAAATAAATATTAGCAAAAATCACTCCTAAAATGTTTTAAAATAATACGCTATTGTCATGTTATTTTAGTAAAATCACACCTAAAATGTTTTACAATAATAAACTATTGTCATGTTATTCTGGTAAAATAACCTGAGAGAGAGTATGTGCTAATAGTCGATAAGAATATTATTCAGGGTAATTTTAAATAAATATCCAGGTCTAATAATAATCTTTTAATGAACATAAAACAAAAACTTCTAAATAAAAAAAATTGTCAAACTAAAAACAAAAACCAAAATTAAAAATAAAATTATCAAACTATGATTTATTAATTATAATTGGATCAATCATCATGAGATTCATCATGGGAATCAAACTATGGTACTTTTATAACTAGGGTTATTCGTCCTCCTCTTCTGATGATAATACTTCTTGATCTGTCGATATCAAAGACGTATAGAATGAATGATAGTGGCGAGGTATAGCCTCACATGAACACAAACTCTTTAAATCGTTGTATAAAGCTTTAGTAACTGGAATCGGTTTACTGTAAGCACATTTTAAGTCTTCAACATCATCAATTGCAGTCGAAGCTGCTGCAGTTTTTCGACCACGGCCGACTCGTCCCATAACTCTTGAAGAAACTTCTGTGTTTAAAATGGAATAATCATTATCAAAATCATACTTATAGCGTAAAATCTTTGGTTCATTGCTTAACACCTTTACTTCCATCACCTTAGACCATAAAATTTTATTGCCTTGTACGTCTCGCACCCAATGTTTTCCCGCAACAAGAACTTTAATGTCATAGAAATTGGACTGTTCCATTTCTTTAACTATAAATTTATTGCCGGTAGCCTTTGCATTTTGAATTAAAGCATACATTTGGTCTGGGGTGTATATCGTTTTATTTTTGATCTCTCTTTCTACGCAAGAGTGCATACTGTCAGCCTCACTTTGCCCGTGTCCAGTTTCAAAGAATCGATGCGTGATATTTAATTTCAGCTTTGCGGCAGCAAACAGATAAAGAGCAAATATGAATTTATTCTTATTTTGGCCTACACAACCATCAGAATAAAAGGAAATATGTTCAATGCCACGTTCATGTTCAGTGTTCAAAAACTGCCACAAGCAACTGCCAATTTCAATTGCTCCTCTTTTTGCTAGTTGATAGTGCCACACGTAACAGAATCCTTGTCGGAGCACTGAGTTATAGACAGTAAAATTGTAAATTGGATATTTCCTTTTGTAGTGGAATATTCCTACTTGAGATTGTGGTATACTCAACACCTTCTCCAAATCGAAAATTGCAACTGTACTTTTATTACGATCAAGGTTCTTCTTTTCTTCCTCTTTCAGTTTCCGAGCTCTTTCTTTGTTTTTTATATGTTTATCATAATCTTCTTGCAACAATTGTTTCTTGTCGTCATCAGCTTGTTTATATAATTCACACTTACCGCATAAATCTTTTTTGGGCACAAAAAAGGAGTAATTGTACTGAGTATTAAACACAGTTTGGTATTGTCTTAGTGTTCCCATCTCTATGTCTTCATCGTAATTTTGATTCTTGAACCAATCTTTATAAAAACGATACATTTTTGAAATATTTAAGTGTGTTGAAAGGTACAATTTTTGGGATTTTTCTCTGACATAATGTGATTCAATTGTGGGGAATAGTTCAATATGATTCTTTATACTGTCTTCAGTATACGTAGTCATGCGCCGTGGTCTATTTTTATGACGTCCTCTTTGGTCATGAAAACCATCTGCAGATTGAGCTTTTTCTAAAGCAGTATATATAGTTTGATGTGTTACATTCAATGTGTTTTTGAAAAATAGACGACATACTTGTAATTTTGTGTTATTTATGGGTAAATAGTATTTTACGCTTTGAATTCTATTATTCTTGCGGTCCAATGTCATACGTTTTATAGGTTCTGCTGAAGTGTGTTGCACTATAAATTGCCATTGTCGTTCATGATCTCCTAGTCTATAATACGATTTAAAGATCTCTTCTCTTTCCTCTGATGATATTAAATTACCACATTTTTTTTTGCATGAACAACCAGTAGTAATCATTGTTTTTTCAGGAAACTCTTTTTTATTTCTGCATCCAATATATTTCTTCCCAGAATTCTTTAGTGTCTTATTTACTCTGTCATTCCATGTTGCAGGATCTCTTTTTCTTTTTCTACTCATCTTTTTTCCAGAATTCGAGTTTTGAGAATTGTTTTCTATGTCATTTTCACATGTCCATCTATTGATGCTCGTTGAAGTCGATGGATTTGATTGATTGTCATTTATGTTCAATGAAGAATTATTTCGAAGAACATGGTCACAGGATAAAGATTTACGTGGTACACGGTCGTTATTTGAACATCGAGAAGTTTCTTGTTCGTTATTCTGGCATTCGGGTGTTTCTTGGTCTGAATAGTTATCATCTTGGTAACAAGCTTGTTCTTGTTCGTGATCATCTAATAATTCAGGTATTGTTTGATTAGGCTGAGGATCGTCTGTGTTTCTAGGGTCTAAATGTTGAACGTGTTCATTAGAGTCCGGTAAGTCTGGTGTTGTTTGATTAAAATGTGGCTGTTTTGGGTAATGAGCTTCTTCGCTTTCAATCGATAAGTCAGGTGTTTTTTTAATAGGCTGCAGTTTTTCTGCATGTGATGATATTTGTTGAACTTTTTCGTAGGGCTCGGGTAATTCTGGAATTATGGAACCCTCTCGTGTGTCTTTCGGGTCAAAACTGCCATGGTTTGGTATTTCAGGTTTTCTTTGAATAGGGTGAGTTTCGTCTGTATGTACGCTTTTTAAAAGTTGACCATTTAGTTTGGGAGTTTTTTGATCTCTATATGCGTTGTTCGGGTCAAGGTGAATATCAACCTGAAGCCGTTCAAAGTTTTTTGGTGATTTAGGCACATCATCATAGGTTTGTACGTCCTCTGGGGTTCCAGGAGTAATTTCTATAGTTATAGAGAGAGACTGATGAGTTTCATTGCCAGTGTTTGTATTTAGGATTCCTGTATCTTTCTTAACAGCCTGTTTATTTATTTCTAAATGAAATTCCTTATTTATTTCTTCATTATTAGTATTAGCATTTAAAGCGTCTTCTTCAATTGATAGTAGATTAATAGTGTTTACGTCCTCTGTCAGTGTATCATCAGCTTTGCCTAGAAGTGATGGTGAGCTATCTAAGTCACCTACGAGTGTTTCATCCATCAAAGATTCGGAATCAGGTATGGCAGAACTATTATCAAAAGATTTTTCAATACATTGAAATTCTGTATACATTTTTGGAGGGTTCAAAGTAATATCCAAGATTTGGATTTGTTCTTTCTGTTCACTTGTTTTATGCCTTTTAGAGCTCGGTGTACTCTGAGTACTTTTACTTTTGTAAATAACAATTGGCGAGGCTACGAAGTCGCAATCGCCTAATATAGAAGAAAGGTTTGATATAACAGACGGAGCCCGCGATATCTTTTCAGACATGGCTTCTATACGAGGGGAATCTCCGCCCAGACTCGATAAACTACTCAACGTATCGACGCTTCTTCGCTGTGAACTAGGTATGTATTCAGATTCATCTGCAGAAAAATCTTCGCTGCGATCACTGCTACTGAAGTATGTTGTTTTGGGTATATTTCTTAAGTGATACACATTGGGAATGCTTTCATTACCCTTTTCATTTTCTTTCTTAGTTTCAGTTACTGGAATTGTAAATAAATAACATATTTAGAAGATAGAAGAAGACGGGAAGAAGAACGGGTAGGTATCTTTAGTTACTGTTAGAAGTCTATACAAATTGTTCATTATTATACATAAAGGTTAGTTTCAACCTACATCAAAAATAGACCCAGAAAATAATGAGAGGGCCTAGGCAACTTACGGAAATAAGGTAAACTAAGTGCGGTCAACGTGACATTCGTACCTAGTTAAATATAATTTTATGGTAAGTAAAAGTAAAAGTAAAAGTTTTTTATGTAGGTAAAAGGTGATAGTACTATATCTAAGTACATTAATTAAAATCCGTTGTCGAACTTTAAAAGAGTAATCTATCATTTTCACAGAATATAAACAACTAGGCAATAAGTTCAAATAGGTATTTCATCATCATCAGCCTGTAGCAGTCCACTGCTGGACATAGGTCTCCCCCAAAGCGCGTCACTGTGATCGGTCCCACGCTTTGCGCATTCAATACAGTTGCCAGCCGTCTTCTTGCGCAGATCGTCACCCCACCGAGCTACAGGTGCCCTAAAGTACGTTTGCCTAGACGTGATAGGCTCCATTCGAGGTAGAAATAGGAAATTAGTAATTGAAATAATTTGTTTACGTAGAGTTAACAGGTATGTACCTACTTACCTTGCACGTCAAGTTTCTTTCGTGCACTGGGCTTCTTTAATTCGTCCATTATTATCTTCTTTAAACCACTAAATTTTAATAAACATTAACACTGAAACCCTCTTTTTTACATACGAAAGTAAGAAACGAACCGTCTCTTCAGAGATAATAACGCAAACTAAAAAAATTGGTAAACAAACATTAGCACGTGCCGAGAAATGAAAAATGACAAAATATTGAAACTGCATTATTAGACTTGGGCGTGTATTAGAAAAAGACGACAATAGGTTAGTAGTTACGTTTCTTTAATCTAGCGTACGAAGCTATCATACTATTGTCGTCAAGGTTGTCACCAATTTTGCTAGAACAACGTGTTAACATATGATTACGGATGTAGGTATGTATTTTTTTACAAGAATAATGTGACAATATACTTTGTCGGCTAAGAATTACTAATTAAGGATTAATTATTCTGATTATTTTATTATTTAATACTATAAAATACTTAATTGGTATTAAATACTTAAATTACTGAAGATAAATTTGCTGCTACCGTGACTCTAAAGCCGCGGCCTTACAAAAATTTATACGTAAATGATAACTACTCCTTTACAAGAAAACTATTCCATAGCTACTTTTTTTAGCTTAATGTTTAAAACAATATTTTTTTTAGATAATGATGTAATAAGTTTACATCTGTTTACGTATTTATTGTTAATAAAACGTAAAAGAAATAAATATAATCGTTGATAATCATAGTTGGTTGTAGGTATTTATTAAGTTTGATGAACATACCTAAAAATTTTATTACTTATAGAAAAATTTTGACAAACCGTTGGAGAAACCTATTGTTTGTACAAGAATACCATGCTTATAGCATATATCAATACAATCGCCTGATTTTCTTACGCGAATAACATGATAAAGTAACAATGTCTACCTAAACAGTTATATTATTATTGCTAATGTATTAAATATTGTTGTTCTAGGCATAAATAAAAACATTGAATTTGTTGAATATCATGCTAATATTTTGTATCTTTGTAAATACTCGTAGGAAATATCTGGAAAAAATTCACAAGGTGTATTGGACCACGAGGAGCTCAAAAATGCAATAACACTAAAAACGTGACAATCGTTTTTGTCATATTATTCTCCGGAGGTAGCGATATGTTACAACATTATTTTGAAATATTGGGATTATTTATACATATTTTAATTTAATTGTATATATAAAATCGTATCGGTGGTTTAGATTTCGCCCGCGTGGACGTCAAACACCGTTAACTGGGATAAAAAGAGTAGCCTATATATTAATACATTCTTATAAATATCCACACATATACCACATTTTATTTAAATATATTTATTTAGATATTAACAAGACAGCCGAAGCCCACCATGCAAAGCCCATATTAGAACTTTTTTACCGATTTGTAACATCTAAGATATAGCTATCTACATATGTCTTCACGTTTCATTCCTTGCCGGGTCGCATCCTCGACGTTCATTTACTACTTTTTTCATGTGCTCGCCAGGTTTTATAGCTTCTAGAATCACTTTTCAAAAGTATCCGATCGATTTGATCATGAAAATTGTGTCTTAAGCTTCTGTCCTGATTTGTAATTATTTATGAATCTTTATTGCCAACCCGAGCCTAAACCGCAGTAACAGCAAAACCAAGAAACCGAGAAAAACGCACGTGAAGTTTAAATGTTATATATCTTTATCAAATCTCTTTAAAATTATGATAAACGGTTTTATCGTATTTGTATATAGTTTTATTGATATTTCGAACCCGTTACAGGTTACGTGTTCACATAAGACTAATATACAGATTTTTTTTTTATTAAAAGTGTAGCTAACTTCAAAACCCAATACAATTTTTTTTTATGACAACGCTTATATTTATTAAATTATTTAAAAAATACATTTTGACTTATTTATTTACCCCTGGCTACCGTATCTACCACCAGTTCTTTAGACATGTCTCATGACGAGAAGATATATCTGTAAGGCGATCTACAGATACAGATCTGTATCTGTAGATCGCCTTGTGGCGCAATAAGGTGGAAGGCACGAGACCACACGGAAGGTCACCGATGCGCTGGACGGACCAAGTGAAGTCTGCTTTTAATGGTGCTTTATACGACTGTACGAGGAAAGCAGACGTCCGAACGAGTGGGGACATATCATGAGACACGTTACATACCCTCAACAGACGGCCATGATTACTCTGCTAAGACTGACTAAGAGGAAGATTACTGCATCTAACTTTTTTGCTAAATCATTTATTAAACTATTTAAAATGTAGTAAAGTCAGCTGATAACGCATATTCAGCATTTTATTGTATCATATTAACATGGTATTATTATATTAATAAACTAAACTGCAGTAAGTAGGGCTAAATTATAGTGGTAATATTATCGCATTTTCACATAAATTTACAAAACTTGTCGCCTTGATTTTAAAAAAAATCTTTTAGTGGTCGTAGAAAAAAGTAAATAAATTTGACTTGTAAGGTTTGAAATGGGCTTTCAGATGAATTGAAAAGCTCAAAGACGCAAATTTTTCTGTTGCTGCGGCCAAGGATCGGGAGGGCTGTATATTAAACCAAAAAATCGCACTTAAATCACGAACGTAGTGGAAAAATATCAAATAATTCTGAAAGGGTGACTTTAAAGGACAGTTTTGTATCTTCGGTATCCTCTATATAAACTAACCACAAACAAATTTTCTGTTCATAAATTACTTTAACATACTCAACATTATAAGAGCTCACAAATAGGTCACTACGTCACCCCCCTCATATAGGATGGAGATGGGAGGTCCATAAGTCGCGATCTACCGGCATTACGTGATAATTGAGAAATTCCAGTTCCTTCCGAGATTCTTTTTTGTTAATAACAAATTGGTTTGTATAAAAAAGTGGTTCATATCGATTGAATCTAATTAATCTGTTAAGAAATGATTATAAATTTAAAATCGCATATAGTTTTGGACGTCCATTGCGGTAATTTTGTTAGCACAAACTAAACATTCTATACTCGGTTGCATAAACATCCTTTAAGATTTAATAACGAGTTTAAGTTCTAATTTAATGACAATAATTGTCATATTGAACATAAACGATTGCGCACTATCCCTTAAAAATAAGTAATAAGAATATTTTTTAGGCACTTTTCTCGGCAGTTAAATAATAATGTATAGGTACTTTATTGCACACACAGGACAAGAACAAATTACGCAGCACTAGAAAACAAAAAACTAAATCGCACTTAGTTAGAAGGTCTAATTTTTTACTCTTTGGTTACGGAACCCTAAAACCATACATTCACTTGTAGAGACATGCATTAGTCGTCAAAATACGCTCGGTATAAGTTAGTGATTTAAATTGTGATCACTCTCTTGCCCTGGGCTCAGCTCGTATGAGCGTCAGCGCACACTCCAAAATGCCTACTTCAGACAGACAGACACCTCGTTTGTGAAGTGTAGATGCGCTACGACTCTGATAATTCATTATTCCTCACTACATAATAATCATTCTTTTAATTAATATTCTTATTTATCTTTCCCGTTATTTAATTTATTATAATGATAATGAAAAGCGATTTCTAATAATTATAATAAAGTACTTTCTCAATTTATCACAAGAGCATACATTAAAGAGCATACATTTAGAGTTTTACGGCTCTCGCAAGTACTTGTCCCCTAGACTACATTAAATCGAAATAAATGGCTCCCCTATAGTTACACAGAATAAAATATCTTTTAAAAGGTTTTTAAAGGCATTTCAGAGCCTTTACAGGTCATGAAGCAACGTGGTCTGGAAAATGTAATGATTTTTAATAAAATAAAACTGTTAAAGCCGCTTGTAAATTATTTAATTAGATTTCGTTTGACATTTTCATTTAGATGTCGTTAGTGTTATGAAATTCTACGTCCTCACCACTTGTCCATAAAGGTAGTTAAGTTATGACATACATACTTAATAATAGTAAAACGTGAATACAATGCGCAGTGACAATAGTAGTCGTACATACGTTGTGTAACGGTTTTGTCTTACTGCCGTAGGTACATTATGTTATACAAGTACCAGGCATACAATGACTTCTGAAGTAGGTATTATTAACCAACCTTCTTTAATGTATATACGGTATTACATCAGGATACAGCAAAAGACCACACTTTACGTATATAATTAGCGCAGAGATGGCCAAAATGTAATCATTATTTAGTAAAGTTCATCTTAAAATAAATTAGAGAAATATGATCTTCAGTGTAATTGCATGCTTTCCGATTATACTCACATTTTACTTCGTGAAATAGGTCTTAACTAATGGCCGACACTAATGAAAGAAAAATAATGATTATATTCATATTAATTTAATGAAATCACATTAATAGACGCATCAATACGGACGTACTTTATCAGTACTAACACAAGACGCGTAAAAACTCGATTCGTGCATCACAAAACAATAGCGTCAAGCTTCGCACTCGCAACGAAAACGAGACATAGGTAGCGTCAACAAAACATAGTGTATGCTCAAAGCGCGAGAAGTAGAGCCCTCTTTATCTAAGAGGCGTCGGGTAGAGAGGAGCGGGGGGAGGGGACAAGTGCATCTCAAAGAAATGCAGATTTTACGTGTCGCTACTCTTTGGAAACGGGAGGTGCGAGCTGTACAGTGCGACTAAAAATCTTGACGTTTTTCTTTTTACAGAAAGATCGTATGACTAAAACAGTTGTAAAATATATTATCAAAATTGGTATTAAAAAATATTGTTCTGCAAATCAAGACAGATGTCGTCACGGCTTTAAAAAAGATATGTCAAACCTAGGGTCAATCAAAATATCACTGAAATGAATGCGCATTTCTTTAAGATGAGATACGATAAAATATAATTTAATTTTGACATTATTAACCTCCTATATGTTTTTCACAGTCTCTAGACTTCTAAAATTTGATTTATTTTTGATACTCTTATTTCTTGATTTATATTACTAGTAAACGAACGAATTTTAGCCTTTTCGACTCATATTATGAGTACTTTAGTAAAAGACAAAG